AAATGTTTAGTTTTTCATCCAAAAATGCTAAAAGTTCCCTAGTTCAAGCTTCAGTTTTGAGAATTTGGGACGTGTCTCTGTTTTATATGACTGTATACTGAATATTTTTGGATTTTGGATTGTAGTTTGGCCAAAAAAAGATATCAACTTTCCCTTTAGGAATTTGTCACTATTTTTGTCATTTTACAGATACAAAGATTTAGCTGAAACTATAAATCCATTAGTTGATTGAAAGAAAATGAATATGCAACAGCTTATAATCGATATACAGTAATTGTTGAAGTCAGTTATCAGCAAAAATGTCAAGCTTTTGCTACTTCCAGCTTCTAAAACATAAGGGTTTGTTTCTCTATTTTATATCATTGTTAAGTGAATATTTTCGGACTGTACGTTTGGCAAAACAAGACATTTTATTGTAATGGATGTTTTAGACTTATTTTATAGACCAAATAATTTATCAGTGAATTAAGAAGAAAATTACCTGATTAAGCAAAGATGATGAAAATAATTATTATTTGCAGCTCTACATACATCTTATTCGCATATATTTTGTTGAATATGACACCCATAGACATCTCTCGCTTTCACAGCCAGCACATAGGCCTATCAGATATATATATCAAAGCGTGCGTCCATTCTCCTCATTTCATTCTTCTGAAAATGCAACTCTACAGAACATTTTCACTTATTGCCAAATGTACCCACACGGTTAAATGTTTTCTTTGGTTTTTCAGATCTAAAAAGGTCAGACTTCCTGAATTAAATCGCTTTTCAGTCTCTTTCCAACTGAACGGAAGGTAAACCGTGGGAAGATGAGACATTTCAGCTATAGTGTTTGTATTTTTCACTGTGCACAGGGGAGAAGAGAGCAGAGCTTTGCTGTCGGCACCTGGGATCAGTCAGCCGCCTGTGACTGTAGTAACCAACTATTGAGCCACAGTGTGGCTGATTTATAACTTCACTGGCTCTTGTGGCATGCAGCAACACGGCGTGGTTAAAAAGCCCCTATATCCTCGTCTTTCATCCCCTCACTGTTGATCTCACCATCATTTCATCTCTTGTTGCCTCATTTTCAGATCTCCATCTCTCATTTCAGTCTCGTTTCCCCAGGCTTTCTTTATCTCCCTTACGATTTCCTTTCTTCTTCTGTCCCATACCATCTCTCCAGCAATGAGAAAAGCCACATTTTAAATCATCGCTGTATTTATATGCTTATAAAACGCCAGAATATCCAGGTACAGAGTGTTCAGGCAGTTTGACATTTCTGCTGTCTTTCATTCTTTCCTTTTCTGTGTTTTTCTACCTACACCTACCTACACTACCCAGGGAGGAAAGAAGAAAAGAAATATCCCTCACCACCAATCCTTCCTCTTTCAGAGGCTTTCTCTCTCACACATGCACACATACACACACAATCATGTTTCTGTCACTTCCGAGGACATTATATTGACATACATTAATTTCTTGGAGAACTGTCCTAACCTTAACCAGTACTAGTCCAACCCTAACCTTCACCTTAACCTAAACTTTATGTTAAACCAAGCCTTCACCCTAAAATTTGACAAAAGGAAGGTAAGTCACAAGAGAGACACAGTGTACACACAGATTTAAGTCTCAACAGTAAGACATGTCCACACACATTATGCCCCACCCACATATACAGAAATACAGGTGCATACTCAGCACACCACTCCACGCATGTTGACTGTCTAAAATACAGTGATACATGATACATACAAGTGCTAACAGATATCTTAGACACACTTGTTTACACAGACACACATATGCATGGCCTTAATTTGCAGGTACTGTATCAGCAAGCCAATTCAGGTTTGTCAGCTTTATGTTTCCAGTACTAAAACACCAGCAGCAAAACAAACATGGAGATTCAACACTGTTCGCCAGCAGCTTAGCTGTGCTATGCAGATTTTAGTTCCAGTTGTATTGTTAATTAAGTTAAAACCTGCATCTGAACAAGGCTGACAACCCGTACTGATCCCTCAATTTTATAGCAGTCCTACTAGCTTTTTTGTTATCAGAGACCAGAGGGTTACAAAGATTTTACAACATTGCAGGCTGGATATGCATCCTCTCTATGGCATTAGAAAAAAACATTTATTTATTTTGTTGCTGCTACAAAATGTAGTTATTCATTTGTGAATAAATAAATAATTAAAATAATAATAAATAATTCTCCACCTGTAGGCTTCTGAGGGTCAAGCAAATTTAACAACACGAAAAGAGGAAAATAGATCTTATCCGGTGAGATCGGTGTCTCCTGTAGGCACTGCTCATATGTAAGCTGTCATGAACCTAAAGGTTAAGAATTACTGGGTTAAGCAATACTTGCACTACAGGAAATACTACATTTAAATACATGCTGTAACTGGATTATTGTATGGCTTTCAGCCTGTAATATTGGATTAAGTGTTCATACACAGAAGAAGTCACAATCGCTTTTACATTTCAAATATTTACTTGCTCCATTTATTAGAGTTGGTCTATTAGTCAGAATGGATACGGTTACCGGTTGACGATGGATGGATGGATGGATGGATGGATACTGTTACTGCGTATGAATAGTAACTTTTCACCTAATAAAATATTGCTTACAAGCCTTTTAGTGCAGAAAACGGATATAAATTTGTGTGTGATAACATCAATAGCAAAACTGCGCCAGCTTGTGGGCCGCTACCAGCTGAGTGAGTTGTTTTCCCACCTGACATATAAATTATTAACAGCAGTGCTTGTTGAATTATATCTTACTTACTAATTGTTGTTTTGGGATGTTACATTGTAGGCCTGTTCTGTTATTTTTTCTCTCCATGACAGCACTGTTATTTAGCCACCTGTCTAGACTGTCGTGCTTCTGAATTACATTTCCCTTTTTTAATAGTGTTTTTAATAAAATGCACACGTTTTTTCTGAGTAGATGAATTTATCAAGTTAATAAGAGCGTAATGTATTGGCTAACCATCACTGTTGTATACGTCATGACATAAACGCCCGGCTTTTCAGTTGCGGCTGGTAGATCTCTCGCTGTTGCTTCCCTTTGTAGCTCAAGGACTTTCTTGTATGCATTAGATATAATAGACTAAGCCTTTCAACGGTTAAGTGCACACAGTCTCTTTGCTCAGTACTTCATGCTTTATAGATTTCTAAGTGCTTTCAATTATGCCTACTTACTGTAGGTGTCCTTTATTTTTAGTCCTTTCTTAAATCAAATGCTCAAATCAAAATGCTCATCCATGACGGTAATGCAGTTCAAATTCTAATGTGAACGCAGCTATGCATTATAAAATAAAATCTCTATTTACCATGTCTTTTGTGCGTTCGGTTGCAGGTATAAATAAAAAATAAATAAAAACAGATCTGCAGTGCTTAGGATATGAAAAGTTTTAATCCCTTGAAACAAGTAGTCTGTCCATTGCTGTTATAGCCTATATTTAGTTTGCATCACGCTGGTGTGTTTTGTGATGTGCAACTTAATAGTACTTTCAAATGACACAAGATGAGGAGTTTGCTTGATTCTGTCCTATAGAATAATAAACTGTCTATTTGAAACCTCCTGATGGGAAACTACCTGAAGCAACCACAAAGCACAATCACATTACTCTTTACCTTTTCAGCTTATGAGATCATTCTATAAATTAAAATACACCTAACTAACAGTTAGATTACACTTCAGTCTTTTGTCCGGCAGATCTGATTTGTATAAGGGAAAGGGGGAGTGACTGACATGTGTTTGTGTCACTGATCGAGGTCTTTATAAACTGGATTAGACATGACTCAACACTCATGGATCAGAGGACCAAAACATGAGTCAACACATCCATCAATCACCAGGAACGACAAACTGATTTTAGAGCAGCGCTTAAAGGTTCAATGATCTTCACCGTGCGCCGAAACAGATTCAATGGCCCGATCAGTTTTACCATTATGGACTGGTAGTAATTTGTGCATGGGCATCTTAAAAGGTAAATCCTCCCTGAACCATAAATTATAGTGGTTATTCATGTGACCTTGGATTCTTGAGCTGTTAGGGTATAGTCAGGGCAGATATGGAGATGGAGAGAGGAGGAGGGAAATAAAGGGGTAAGGAGAAAGATCAGAGCTGCAACTTTAATCTTTGATGTCATCAAGAGACACTGCCCGCAGCGTGTTGATGACATCACAGATAACAATCTTTACTATATCTGGTTTCTTTTGGGAGAAACAGCAAATCACAAATCCAGATTTAGGTGATCACAAATACAATGATTCAGCTTTAGGGTGGATGATCATTTATCCTCACACCCTCCTCCTCCTGCTCCACACCCAAACCTCCATCCGCCCCCTACCTTATTCTTTAGCAGCCCTACCTTTATCCCATTTTCTAGAACAGTCTTTTCCAGCCCCTATCAGAAGGTGCATCTGTCACCTGTGTATGAATCCGGCTGTGTGCATGCATGTGTATAGTTGAGTTCCCGAAATGTGTGTGTGTGTGTGTGTGTGTGTGTGTGTGTGTGTGTGTGTGTGTTGTGTGTGTGCGTGCGTGTGATTTATGTGTGCGAAGGCAACCGTAAAAAAGAAGCACAATCAAAGAGAAATGTGTCATGTCCTTGCTAGCCCTCGAAGGAGAGAGAGAGATCTATTTCTGTCGCGACAAATGGAGGTGTTCAAGCAGCCTTCAATTGCAGAGATTTGCCTCTTCACACACACACACACACACACACACACACACACACACTGGAAGCTAGAGAAAAGGCTAACCGTTCTTGTGTGGCAAGAGAAAGGCTGAGTGATAAGAAAACACAATAGAGTGAGAGAGAATTAAGTAGAGAAGGAGGAGGAGGATACGGAAAAAGGGAGAGGAAGAGAGAGAAGGGGGAGGGGAGGTGGAAGGCAGAATAATGTACACTGAGTTCATAAATATTGGCAAACACACACACACACACACACACACACACACACACACAGACGCACAGTTCCCACATAAAAGCAGAGTGCTAGTTGTTTACCTAAAGGCATGCCTTTGTTGAGGAGATGTGAGCTTCCCATGGTGTGTTCCCCAGCCGGCCAGCACACAATAGAAACCTACAGTCTTCACACAGCAGACATGAACAGGAATCCAGTCAGCATATGGCGGCTGTGGCCAGCTACCTCGCTTCCCTTAGTCCTTCTCCCAGCCCCTCAGTGACAAGCATACACATGTGCTCCCCCTCTTTCCTCTCTCTCTCTCTCTCCCCTCCCTTCCGTCCCTGTTCGCTCGCCCGCTCTCTCTAGCTGTCTTACCCCTCCTTCCCTCTCTGCCGTCTCTAGCTACCTCCCTCCCCTCCTTTTCTGACTTTCTATTACCGCAAGTCTTTCCGTCTCTCCCTCTCCCTCTGTCACCAAAAAAAAGTGCACACACATACTGAATTGTGTGTGTTTGTGAGAGAGAGAGTATGTCTGTGTGTGTGTGTGTGTGTGTGTGAAAGAGCGCGAGAGAGAGAGAGAGAGAGAGAGAGAGAGAGAGAGCAGGAATAGGGAGGAGCTAACTCTTGCTAAAATTCATCTTTTGTTTCCTGAAAGACGACAGAGAAAAAAACTAAAGAAAGAAGAGTTACGCAATTACAAGGCTGTAGCAATAGAGGAAAAACTTGTTCTTTCTCATTTCAGGAAAACAATTATAAAGCTCATAAAACTTAATTGTAATAAGCAATAACATGTTATGACACTATAAATCAGTGTTTTAAATAAATAATGACTTTTGCAATTAGAAGATCACTCTTTCAAGACATTCAAACTTTAAAATAAACAAGTTATTTCAATTGCTACTGACTTAAAAATAATACATTGTACTTAAAGATTTCCATGAATAATCTACCTACATGGGTAAATATTCCTCCTATAATATTCCTATTATATTCTGAATAACTTGATATTCTACTCCACCACCCAAGTACTCGGGTAAAATCTTCTAATCAAATTCTAGTTTGATGTTCAAATGCAACTCTTTGTAGTGCTTTGTGAGATTATTATAATGAAAAGTTACAAAACTCATATTACTAGTGTTATTATTGTTACAGAATGGGACAAAACTGTTGCTGACTATAATGATTATTATTTGTGTGGCAAACAATATGTGGAGTCCTTCATATCTTCATGTCTTATCATGTAAAAGATGTGTCTATTTTCAAAAAGATACAGATTCACAATACTGTTATGGGTATTAAATACTGATATACTGGATCTCTTGAATGGTAAGGGATAGAAAGCTAACATTTAAACATTAGCCGGTTACAAATCATATTACTGTTCAAATTGCAACAGCTAATTTGACCCGATAAAACAAAATATAATGAATTACATGTTAAAAAATTGTCTTTCTTTCATTGTAGCATTATTTACAGCTGTGTATTTTGTTGATCAAACTAGTAAAAGTAATTATTTTTCTTTGTATTTGCACGTTATTGTTAGTAGTTTCAAAAGTGTGAATAAGTCAAGTCTAAACCATTCTAATGGATTCATCCATTAGTAATCCTAAATTAATCAAATTTTCATCCATCCCTACATCGTCAACCACTTATCCTGCGTACAGGGTCGCGGGTGGCTGGAGCCAATCCCAGCTTACATCGGGCGAAAGGCGGGGTACACCCTGGACAGGTCGCCAGTCCATCGCAGGGCTAATCAAATTTTATGATTCCATAATTGATTGAGTGATTGAACTGAGTATTTTGTTTTTTTGCAAACCCCCCCCCCCCCACACACACAGAGTTTTCAGTTTGATCTGAGACCCAAATGAAAATCTTTTGATTCTTATTTCCCATAAAAATATCAAATATCCATGTACTGTTTAATGTACAACATAAAAAACGGAGTGCTAACATCAGCAAACCGCATAGTGTTGTCTCTATGGAGTGGCATGTGCTTCTCCTGTTATGGCTGTGTTGTTGTATAATTGTACTTTAGATGTGCATGTAAATATGACAGGCAGTGTTTTTAATCCAATTCATTTACTCATATAATCACTTTTTTCTCTCAAGCTTTACCTCTCTTTGTTCTGGTTAACACCTTTACACCTGCTCGTGCTCTTTCTATTCCTGCAGTGGAGATATTACATTTACTCTCATGTACACTTGGCCACTTGATAACCAGAGGGATATGAGCAGCCTCAGATGCCACCTAACTGCCAGGGCCTAACCTAATTTAACAGCAATGATGGTTACATCACACCCTCACTATTGGTAAATGTCACAGACAGCCAGTGGGCGAGTTGTTCAAATTCAGAAAGAGGCGAACAGTTGTTTTCAACACTGTCGGTACGCTGACTCATGACCTTTGTCGTATATATCATCACTCCCACCATTCTCTTCAAACATCCCTGTCAGTTGCTGGCTTCATTTTAAACAGTAATAAAACAGATTTAGCTTAAAATTACTTTTAATCTTCAAAGGAAAATGAGCAATGTGCTCCTACTTGTTTGTTGGCTTTATTTAGACCCTGGAGAAGGGTTGTACATAAGAGTGGTAGCTCCCTTTAAAGAGTAGATCTTAGGCCCTGTTTTTAGGCCCTTCTAAAATAATCCAATTGGAATTTTGCAGCCTCTCCTCTCCAGCTGTTCGCCACCATCTCTTACCCCACTGAGTCAGAGAAATTTGATGGCAATAAAGCCTAATCAGTAAGGTTCAAAGCAAAATTGCATTTGGCATGTTTTGTGACTGCTGTCTGCTAGAGTGCTGCAGGCAAATACCATCAACACCACTAGTCACTGTGACTGTAGGTGTATTTGTATTTAATGACGTCCACACTAGATGGGGGAGAAGAATGTGACTCGGTCATCACTCAAAACAAGAAGCAAACACTAAAACTAATATAACTGTGAAGATTGGTCAAAACAACCACAACATTTTTCAGGTGACAGCATATTTGGAGACTACAGTGGCTGTGTGAAAAGGTTTCAGTTCAGTTAAACAGCATTAACACGCTCAAAACCAAATGCCTCTTTTTGGTCACAAACCCACCATTTTGTGTGCAAGAACATATATACCAAACTCAGATGTGTATGAAGTTTCCTGCTAGTCTGACCCATGACACCATCTCTAGATGCACACTTTAATGCCCAATTCACATAGCAGCAATGAACAGTGGCACAGAGGGGAAGTTTCATATATGTCTGTGGCAGCAGTGGAGTGGGGAAGTGGTAAAACCCCTAATGTTTGTCATGCAAAAGTTGACTTAAAGTCACCTTTTGAATTGCTGCCAACAGTGGCAGCCACTCTGAATAGACCTGAAGCTGTCACTGGGTTTCAGACTTGAAAAACATGGTGGCTTGCTTGTTCCTTTTTTTACACATCAACACTATAAAACAGCCCAACAACAAAACAAACTGTATCTGATTATATTTGAGGCAAAAAAAGCAGATAAAGTGAAGCATTGATCATTTTTCAAATCACAGGGTTTGCAATGTGATTTAAGAGCTTTGGAAAAGGATTAAGAGTTGAATTTTGCTCCGAGGCACCTTGAGGTGCCTAACCATAATAACCATGGCATATTAAACTCGACAAATTATGCTAATTCAATGGCTAAAGTGAATCATTTCTTAATTGACAAATATCTCTTTGCTTGTCATCACACCACACATGAATGGTATTGCAATGAGGTCCGTGTCTTAAAGCATTACCCCTAACAATTCAGTTTCATGTATAAGGAATGGGTTAAGTGCAGGTCCAGCTTCAGATCTTCTATCAAATTTAAAATAAAAACCTGGACTAATGAATGTGAGAAGGTACAGACACATTTATTGTGTTTACAAGGCTGACAGCAACTTATCTCCAACCACTTTGCAAGAGACAAATGTTCCCAAGGAGATTGAGGAAACATGAAACATATTTGCTGCCTCTAAATAAGGATGGAGAGAGGAGAAGACAATATCTGGGCTCCTCTCGCTACAGAGGGAAAAAATGATAGAAAGGAAGATGGGAGAAGGAACAGAATAAAGGAACAAGTAATGATCATCAGAATAATGAATGCTGCTCATGAGAGAAAGGGAGGAATAGAAAAGAGAGAAGTGAGAGGAGGGGAGAGGTGACAGAGGAGAGATCGAAAGATTTCACCGCCTTACATTTTGTTTATTTAAATGCAGTCTTTCATGTGTGCAAATCAAACAGATATTCACACGGACATTAACAGTAACACCCTTTCCTCTCCTTATTACTCTGCACAGACCGTTTTCCCCTCTTCCTTTCCCCTCCTTCTCTCCTCCCTATCTCTTTACCTCCTGCTATTCCATCTGTCCATCTTGCTTTGTCTTTCATCCCTAGCAATTTCTCCCTCGATCTCATTCGCATTCCATCACCCCCAACTCCTGATTCCCGCATCTCTTTCATTCTCTTTTTCCATCTCTGCCTTGCTCACCATACATCTCCTCCACCCCCCACACCTCACCCACTTACTTCCCACCCATTCTCTCTCTCTCTCTCTCTCTCTCTGTAGTCACTGCAGCGTGTCTAATGGTTCAGCTCCCTCTCAGCAGATTCACCAAGCGGAGGCCAGGCGAGCAGCAGCCCTGACTGACGCCTCCCAACCGCTGTCCTTATCAAGACTGACAGCCAAGCTAGACCTAGAGCTATTGCTAACACACACATAATTACAAAGATACATGCCTGCACGTGTACAACAATACAAGCTTCTGCACAGAGAAATAAATTTACACTCACACAAGCAGTTGCATGCAAAAACAAATGCACTGATTTACTGTGGCACAGGTTCAAACGCAGATACACACACACACACACACACACACACACACACAGATGCACACTTACACTATAGCTCCAAATATAGATTCAAAGAGACACATAGTGGCCATGGTACTAGCGGTAAACGTGCAGATGCAGGCAGACACACAAACACACGCACAGACAAGTAATTTGGATTTATGGCTACTGACAGTGAGCTGCAGGACAATGTGGATGCCACTACAGAGGAGAGATCAGATACTGGAGGAGCTAGCAATCAAATCTAGTATAGGAAGAGACGGATACCACAGGCATGAAGAATCTAACCTACGTGTAGAAGAGAATTAGAGCAGAGTGAAAGGCGGTGAAATAGGTAGGACCAGCATGACAGAAACACAAGAGATGAATGGAGGATCAGGTTGTCAGAAAAGAAGAGTGAAGGTAAGGAGGAAGAATAGACAAGAAGTGAGGTGATACGTGGGTAGGAAAAGGAAAGCAGTAAAAATAAGAGAAGGGGAAGGGTGACAAGTAAAAGAAAGCGGAATCAGAAAGGTCGATGTAGATTCCTCAATAAAATGTAACTGAAACTGTACAGGATCTTAAGGTTAGAGATACCGTCCGATCGTTAGGAAGCTGTCACCTACCTCAACAGAGGAAAGAAGGAAAAAAAATCCCTTTTTAAAAACACCTCAACATCTAATATCAGCCATAGTCCCTGTGTCTTTCTTTAACATAATAAGAACTTTTGATCAACTCAATTGATTATCTTTGGGCTGCAGCTGGCAATTATTTTTGTTTTGGCGAATAATCTGATGATAATTTCCTTGATTAATCATGGGTCCATCACATAAGACCAAAAAAGGACCTAATCCTCACATTTGAGAAGCTGAAACAAGGTAATGTTTTGCAATTTTGCTTGAAAAATGTACAAATGATGAATTGATTATCAAAATAGTTTCGAGAGGGGCTGAGGGCTGAACCGCAACATCTGTGGTTTTGGATCTGACCAGAGATGTTTGTAGTGTGTCATTCCCCCTTAAGCCTACTTCACACTACACGATTTTTAGCCCGATTTGCCGTTCGGCGAGCTCGGCGACCGTCAGACTGTGATCGGGAGTAAATCAGCGGTTGATTGGCGGTCGCCAGTCGTTATGTGTGAACTACTCGAGACACGTCACAACGGCTTCCCGACACATTTCTGACACATCGCCGACGTCTGCCAGATATCTAACATGCCAAACATCTGGAGGAGTCGGCCGACTCAACATCCACATCCAGCCAATGAGAGCAGGTAGCTACTTTTTCACTGCAAAACACTTCTTACTCTGTAGCTCAGACAATCCCTGCTACCTGCGTGTGTTAATCCATCCTTTCACCCATATTCTTTGTCTTTATAATTGGTATCTTTATAATAAACAACAGCTGTTTTGTCTGTAGGTTCATGTCATTTCCTGTTTCACATTTCACGTGTGTTTTCAAAACGTTTGGAGACCAGCATCGGATGACTCAGCCGCTGTCGTGTAGTGTGTGGCCACAGCGACTTCAAGACTCCCGTCACAAGACGGCAAGTTGTGTAGTGTAAACAGAGGCACCGCCAGAGGTTTTGGGCCCCATGACAAAGAAATCTAATTGGGCCCCATACCGCCTCTGCAGCTGCTGTCATCCAGCCTGTTCTCATGCCAGGCATTATATATAAACACTTGACAAGCGTATTTATTTCACGCAAAACGTCAATTTTGCATGTGTAGTAGACGCCCCCAGGTTCGTGTGTATGAGACGCATCCAGGCGCGTCTGTATATGATGCCCCTGGGGCTAGTTAGCTAGAGATGTTTGTGTTTGAGGCACAAACATCCCCCAAGGCAACTTACCCTAACCTTAACCGTCATAGAAGATAGTGACTAAACCTAAGTCAGTAAATATGTCGACCCTACAGCTGTGCACATCGGCCGTGCACAGCTGTAGGGTTAGCCTCCTTTGTGTTGCCACGCTATAGCAAACTGCAGTGTATCATACACACGCAAAATCGCCATTTTGCATACAATAGCCACGTTTTTTCCAAAGCGTGTATATATGACGCCTGAGATGAAAACGGGTAACTATTATTGTATATTAGTTTTACTTATTTTCTGGGGCCCCTACTTACAGTCAAGGGCCCTTGGAATTGTCCTAACTTTTCCCCCCTATATGGCGCCACTGAGTGTGAACGGCACGGTCATCGGCCGACGCTGGAAGTTGTGTAGACTGCATAAGCCTTTACTCTACTTTCATTTCCTGTCTTCTCTCCATTGTCATGCAATAATTTTTTGTCTATCAACTAATGGATTAATTGACTGATTGTTTCAGCTTAAATGTTGACTCAAAAAGTTCCATAAGCTTATTTAAGAATGAATCACTGCATTTCTGATTCTACTACGTTACATTCCTCTTTGTTTCTGTACCAACTTGGATTTCCCTTATGGGGACTAAGGGATATTCTATTCTATATTTTATCTTATTTTACACACCTGAAACATCTGTCTTTTAAAGCCACTTGTCAAAAGAAACAAGAGTCAATTACTCTCAAAATGTGTTCATTTTTAAATGGCACTCACTTTATAGTACATGATTAAAATTATTTTATATATTTATTTTATTAAAATTAAATCATAATTTTATTTGGCTCTTAATTTTTAACATCTTGAACTGATAACAAAGCCCACATTGGGTCCAGAGGATGTACAATTCAAGTCCTGCATATCGATATAATATAAAACAGGAAACTCAAGGTCGAATATGTGTGATAAGATATGGTATTTCTACATCAGAGAAAGGTTTTACATAAGATGAAATTTGTGTAATATTTAGCCTCCAAGTTTTGGTGTCAGTCCTTAATAATTAAAGATTATATATATTATATTTAACAACCACGCCATCATTAAAGAGGCAGAAATACCAAATTACTCATCAAATAATAATCCTCCTCTCAAACAGATTGGACACACACAAACCTAATATATCAATAAAATATATTCATACACTCAAACACAAGCACGCCTTTATACTGTACTTGTACTACACAAATGCACCATGTCATTTCCCCCTTGTTTGACTTGGCAGAGAGTTATCGCTTCAAAACCTAAACACAGTGCAGAGCCAAGCTGTGAGCGCAGCCACTGCTATCATATAAAGTCACATATTTTAACACAAATAGACACTGACACACATTCACACATACTGCACACAAGTGCAAGTAAGTGACACACAGGAAGCACTTGATGTGGGGCCAAAAATACATCACAAACCTTGCATCACCTTCCTCTCTGTGTGTCCACTGTTACACTTTGTTCCAAAGCTGGGTGGGGGTGGGGCATGCAGCAGATAATGGGCCAATTGTAAGTGATTAGAGGTTGTGCCAGCCAATCAGCACAGCCTGGCACTGGACAGCAGCCAATGGCAATATGTTCACCACGGCTGGGGGGAGGGTGCTCTCACTCACACAGGAAAAGAAATGTGGCCATGGTATGGAACGAGTGCCGGGGGGTTCACTGGTTGCACTGATGGACTGTAACCTGTATTTTAAATATCCAAAAACAATACAATATATGGCCTAAATTGGTCTTTCTTTTTCAAATAATTTAATTTCATCATTAGTGGAATAAAATATTCTGTCCTATAGGTTAGGGGGGGAAATCCTGTCCTATAGGTTTTATACACGTTTACAGAGAGGTTTCAGGTGGCTGTCTGGAACTATAGCCCAAACTGGGTTCCCAAATGTACCAACATAATTAAAGATTCCTTAAAAGAAATATTTTTTTCCTTATTCCATTTAATGTCAGGCCTTTTCTCTCATATGTTCAGATTCCTGACATCGTTGAAAATATCTAATAGCTGTTATTGCTTTTCATGTGTAAATTGAAAAATGACTGAAAATGAGCTTGGCTCTTTCCTCATATATTCCTACTTTAACAGCTCTTGCCTTGCAAATGCCAATACACATGATATTTATTTATAGACTTTAATCTCTGATTCTAATCTAATTTGTATTATGAGAATGTTTGGATGTGAATAATTGGACATGTGGACTACACTAGGACTGCAACTAACTGTTATTTTAATTATCAATTGATATTTAATAAAAAAATTCATCGCTATGTAAAACTTGTATTATATAATGTCAGAAAATAATTATTTATTTAGATTTTTTTTATTTAGAGCCCAAGGTGTCATCTTCAGTTGCTTATTTTATCTTTATTTATGCTTTATTTATCAATGACTTAAAACAGTTATTATTGTTACTATTAGTTATTAAAATTGTTGTTGATTAATTTTCTGTTGCTCAACCTTTCCCTGTCATTCATTTTGTCTGGTACTGGCAGCTGAAATCTCAGTCATCTTCAAACCTGATCTAACAGGTGTGCTTTATTAGAGAAAAGGTATCCAGTGTTAAAATGAAGTTGTATGTAAAGGTAATGAACGACTGATACGGCTCAAACTCACCTCTGCTTGAGGTGAATGCTCAAATACAGCAGCTCTAAGGAATACAAGAACACATGATCAATGATGCTGACGATTCATTTGGTCATTATTTACTGCAGTCTTGGATTTAATTACAGAAACATTTAACAGCAGATTTCTCTCACTCTGGACCACAGTGTTTATGGATTTAAATGAATTTGCAGGTAAAATTGTCCTTTGAAAAATTTTTACTTGAACAATAGGGCAAACTACTCTGATATCTGCTCAATGAGAGCTCCAAAAAAAGATACTAAATGCATATTGTGGTGATATTGTTTTGTCTGCAACAGCCCGACATTGGCTGTATGTAAATATCATGCTGTATTTCACGTTGAATCAACCAATTATTTCAGTTTAAAGCCACTTCAGTTTAAAAAAAAAGCATCTGAAAAATGTCCAAGCACCACACACCCAGAGTCAGTGCTGACACCGTCTCACCAGATGGCGGTAGCGAGCACCAAGGCCATTCTGAGTTGATAGGAAAAAAACACAAACAACCACAAGAAAACCACAAAACCAAGATGGCGGTGCAAGAGACAGCATCTCAACTGTCCATGGCTCTCAAAGTCCAAGAATATCCCACCCTGAAGGTAAACAAAAGCTGAAACTGGCACACATTAATAGCCTAACGATGCTGGTGTGTCCAAAATCCACGAAGCGTTTGATGCTATTTGGAAAATGGGGATTGTCAGTTCCTTTGCGAACTTGACAGGGAGGCTAACGTTAGCTGGACTAACGTTAGCTTAGCCAGGTAAGTTAGCAATATCCACTAACTAACCTTTGAAGAGCAAAAGCAAAGATGAAGTAGGTCGATGAATAACTATAGCTGGTGGAAAGTTAGTTGTCTGTCGCCTTAATGGGTTCATATAATTAACGACAAGTGTGTTGAGGGCCTCGGAGCTGTTAGCTTAAGTTTAAGCCTGTTGTTTTGTGTCAAAGTGGTTCTTTGACATTAACGTTGGTTATGAGTTGTCAGGTAACGCTACACGCCTGGGTTGGCTAACGTTGCATTCATTTAACGTTTGCTAACGTTAGCTATGGTGCATCACATTCATTAATGTGTGTGGACGTCTAACGGCTAAACTAGTCAGGGCACTTAACAGTTTGGAAACATCATTAAGGTAAAGGGTGTTAAACGTTATAAAAAAAATAAAAAAACATCACCACTGACAGGATATGTATAAAAAAAATAAAACGTGGTTGCTCATCCCTTCAACAGCCAAGCACGTCGTCAAAGAAATGGCTGGCAGGCCTGCTAGCCAGTTTGCTGTGGTAAAGAACTGTATTAGCCATCTTTTTTGTGTCGCAAAAGATGAATAGCCTACCAGATACGTAACGTCGAGCATGCAAATTCTAGCTGGAAGGATGGATCGGTTGAATTCACTAGGGGAGAGCCGGTAACGCTACGTTGTCAGACAGAGTAACACAGTCCTGCGAGTTAGCGCAGTGTCATCAGATTGCTGCTGCTGCTGCCTCTCTGCACTTCAAAATGGCCAGCGAGAGAAATCACAGCCTGCTGCCGCACACACGCGCCGTTCCTCCATTCCACATAACGTTACTGCGACACGACTGCTAAAAGACGAGCTGAAACAAGTCCGGGCTGCCTCCTCTGTTCAGCCGTGCCGGACAGCGAGAACGCGTCGTCATATAAAGCACGTTTGTGAGTAGCATTGTATTGGCAGCTTTTTGTGGGGTAACTAATGCCATGATGTTGTCATGATGAATATAACGTGGCGTTTAGTGTTGAGACGTGTCTGTGCTGTGAAAGCATGGCTGTGGTTTGGGGATATGTCTGTCTTTGCTTGGATGCTGCAGTAAGGATGATGGGCACCATTTTAAGACTGGAATGATGGCTATAATTGGGATCAAATGGGAGTCTACAGCTGGGGGTAGAGCAGTATTCATTACATTTGGTGCTATATTGAGCAGAATTGTAATGTCACAATGTTGTCTGACACAGACACTGAGAAATCAGATTTACCAAGAAAATATGGATATTATGTCCTTGAACATTTTCAGTCAGATCAGTGTAAAGTTTACCACAAGCAAACAGGAAAATGGTTATCCTAATATTTATATATTTTCTCACTTATGCATGTAAATGGCTGGGCTGTTAACCTGGATGCAGACATTACATGCCTATTACAGTCAAATGACTTTGTAATGCTTCACATTTAAGATGATGTGTCTGTAAACAAGGTACATAAAAACTATCATTTGGACTTGCTTAAATGACCTAAGCCATTTCATGATTATTTATTCTTATTGTCAATAATAGATCATGTGTACTGTTTGGAGTGGGCTTGTAGATGAGCCACCTCCCAGCAAATCATGAAAGACACCTTCTTGCACAGTGTTAGCAATAGCCATTATAAGCTGTCATTACAGAATTGCATTTCAGCTGTCAAGTAAATCAATGTTGTATGGAAAAGGGTAATATCATACATAAGTAGCCAGTCATATTGAAAAAGGGACTGTTTCTGTTTCCTCATAATGCACAGGACAATCATCAGAGAAACATCTGGTTTATTGCATTTGAAGCAAACTATTTTGTGAGCCAAATTTGTTACTTAGCTGTTTTTGAAAAAATAATTAGAACTATCTTCTTGTAAAGGCAAAAGGCCTAAACAGTGGAATGCAATTATCTATTGTGATATATAATTGATAAAATAGAGAAAAGAAGGCTTATCCAGTGTATTAAATATCTGGCAAATCAAGATATTTTATCAAATATCAGCATTTCCTGCCATAGTCTTATGATGGCATGCGTAGCTTCAGTAGCTTTACCAAAATCTCTTCCAGTTGACTAATCTCTATGGTCTTAAGGTCTCAGCCTTGTTTGCATAGACTGGGAATTATACACGTATTTTATGAATTGATTTGGCTTTCTCTGTAACTTGCTGTAATCATCACCATCTGCTGTATCCGGCTACTGAAGCCTTCACTTAATGATCGCCAGTTAATTTGTTGATCTGTAGCCAAGTGTGTCACTAAAAATCAAACACTGACCAATGTGAATGTGCAAACCCTGATCTTGATGTAGCCCTCGGGGGGGGAAATTGCTAGAGACTGACGTAAAGCCAAAGCCTTTTCCATCTTTTCCCTGTCTCATACAGTGGCCATACACATTCCTGAGCAGAATAAGCCCCCTGTTTCTGTCAACGGGACACTAATGAATATTTACTAGTGCATACAAAACTGCTCTGTGGTACAATTTAAATATCTGACTCATGGGGTCTCATTCTGGGCTTTATTTTGGCAAAGAGCTGGATTATAATGATAACAGTAGTCCAGCAGAGCTGCAGCTTTCTCTTTTCTACATGTTTTGTGGCAAGCTTGTTCTTTCCCCTCTCCAATGTTAGTGATCTGTGAAATTAACTTGGCTCCAACTTAAAAGGGGAAAAAATCCTTTCAGTGGATCAAAGCTCTCCTCATGTTTTTATGCAGTATCTCAGAGAAGGAACCACAATGTTCATATGAATCTGGTTCTGGTTCACGAAGCCATGTTGTATTGTAGTAAAAGGGGAAGCACTGTGTCCAGACTTCTCTGTGATGATAAGGATGTGGTTTATGAATGTTACATTAATGTTTTGTTGCTTTTTTAAAATGTTATTTCATCATACGTTATGTGTTATATAACAATCACTATCCCAAAAACAATAAGCAACATAGATTGTAGAGTTTTTACATTGGATATTAAACAGGCATTGTTTAAACTGAATTCAGCACAGTTCATGGAAAACATGGGACACATTTATAAAATACTGTATACTTTGGTCAGTTGCAAAGCAAACAATGAAATAATTAGTCAATCGGAAGCCTTGTTAATTAATAATATAATCATAGAAGGTACTAGGAAAGATTAAGTGAATCATGGTGATTCAAATTGAGACAAGGATCGATTACAATGAAAGATTTTAATAATGAAACTGTGTTCAATTAAATGTAGCAATGATCCAAAATTTTGTAGAGTAGCAGTAGTAAGAAAGACAAGATTGTTTCAGTCTGAAAAAGTAGGCTCCGGTCATTTGCTTCCTGCTTTGATTTGTTTCCGCTGAGGAGTTCATTTACTCAGGCTGCAGAAATGCCATGAAATTAGGCTGCTGGAAGACACAGGGCACCATAGAGCCCACTGCTAATCTCATTTCAACTGCCAGTGAAATCTTTGGAAGAAACATTAACAGCAGGGGTAAAAGTTTTTATATTTTGTTTTGAAAAGGGAATTTAATTTTGTCAAGAAACTTTTAGTAGTATTTATTTGGGTAGACTGTTAATTCCTAGTTTGTTTGTGTGGGCTCCAGTCTCTTTTGTCACTACAAGACAGGATATAAATGCAAACTACTTATTTTCCTTAGTTATTAACCCAAACACTTTATGTGGAAGAACACAATTGTGTTTGTTTTGTACAAGCTCCATTACAGCTCAGCTATCTAAACAGCCTGCTTCTTTTTGCAAAATGTAAGGACCTCAATCAGCTAGAGGTAACTATCATATGCTTTTGTTGGGCTGTTTGCTAATGACGCTTTGTAAAATTCTCCTGAGCAGCTTGTTTGCTGTGTGCCGCTGCTAAACCTGAATGCTTGATACACCGAGGTAAATGTCCCTTGCCGTTGTTGTTGCAGGTCCCCTACGAGACTCTGAACAAACGTTTCAGGGCGGCTCAGAAGAACATCGACCGGGAGACAAGTCACGTGACAATGGTTGTTGCAGAGCTGGAGAAGACGTTGAGCAGCTTCCCAGTGGTTGACTCCGTGGTGTCACTGCTGGATGGCGTGGTGGAGAAACTCAGCGCCCTGAAGAGGAAGGTAAGGGATACAGATGTACACATACATTCACACAGCAATTTCCTCTCTATCAACTTTCAAGAAGTGTTTTTATGTATAAATTTAGATTTATTTTACAGCGAAAGCCAAGATATTTTTTTAAAACACACAATCCCTGGTGAGGTTATTTCCTTCTAGACTGTCTAAGAACTTGCCACTATGGGAAGATTTGTAGGATTGGAAAAATAAAACTTCAAGGGCCGTCTGCATACCAAAGCAGTAGACTATGAAAATCCCATTTCCATGTTGAAAGTCATCAGCAGAATTTTTAGATAATTCGCTCACAGTGAACAGTGAAATGCAAAGAACTTAAAACACTTCAATCTCTTCCTCACATTTCTCTTTTAGTTTAATTGTGGTGGACAAACAAGAGAAATGGTTCATTACCACTGCATTCTGCTAAGAATTGTGGTTGGATGATATGCACTTATGACTAATACAGCTAATTTACCTGCTGGGCTTAATCGCAGTTCTTGTGCCGTAATGTTATTGCTTGTTTTATGTTTCTTGAAACCTGATTTCTCAATAAAAGTGTTGCTAATGTCATATCTTGCTATTTTTGTGTAGGCTGGCTGCTTTTGTAGAAATTAATGACTGGAGAGATATTCAGATGCTACAAAGTTGGCTTTGAATGTTGGCTTAACGTAGCTTGTAAGTGCAACTAAGGTTTATCACAACCATCATGTCTGTTATAATGTTTGTCTGTTGATACTACACTTAAAGGCCAGTTTTTTTTCAATTGTAACTATCTTTGAGATCGTTTTTTAAATCTGGCCTTGGGTGGATGAAGATATAACAAGGAAAAAGAAATAGTGTTTCTATTTCAGATCTATCCTCATTAGTTATTATTATTCTGATAAAGCTCAAGACATCTCCATCTTGCATGGCAACCTACTGGGAAGGTCTGAGGGGAAAAAAGGACTTGTTTTTCTTTGACAATATAGAAAATACTGTAAATGTAGGACAACCCTACAATCACCCACTCCTTACTCATTAGAAAATACAAGCACTGGTATTGGCCCTGGCACTTACACCATCAGCAGTATCTCGTCTACAAATACAATATCCATTCAGCTAGAGCCAACTGTTAAAAGCCACATCACTTGCCCCTGTTGAGAAAAGCACCTTATTGTAGCTGTGGTTTCTTTAATAGTATAACTGTGGCCTTGGTGGGTTGTGTTTGAGAACGTTGGAATGCTGCCTGGCTGGTTCTTCTGTCAAGTCTTTCTAAAACAACAGAAACCAAGTGATCAAAACATACTTCTTCTTCTTTTGTCCTCTGTGCCAACATGTTGTCCAGCAGGTACTTTGATATATATGTAAACCCTGGATTCATTCGTTGTTTTAAAGGCTAGGTCATACTACACCACACTAACTTGCTTTTGTTTCCCTAGATATGTTTGGCAAAATCTGGTCGAGCTGGTGTAAAGAAAAGTAGTCCAAAAGTCAAGAATTAAATAGGAAATTGATTTAGTGTTTAGAAAAGCAATTTTATTTTGAAATAAATCAAATCTAAAAAGGCAGTGTGTGTTAAACAGTGCACATAAGAATGCAATCATGTACTGTAATATTCTTCACATTTTCTACTATAATTTCTTTCTAATGTAAATGTACATGCTGCAATGGAAATACATTTTTAAGTGTGTGGGATCCCTTGCCTTTATGTTTATGACACCCATCTTATCTCCCTCACATAACCGTTTTTTCTACACAACAGGAAGCAGCTGTTCAGTCTGGCCTGTCCTCAACAGTGTTCCAAGGTTTGACAAGTGTTGTGGTCTGGTTTCAGTGCAAGAGGGTTTATAAAAAGTATATTATAGTGCTTGCTCTTGGTGGGAACTGTTGGGCTTCTGTAAATATCATCACAGAGTATGGTCTAGACCTGCTCTTTTATGAAAAGCGCTGTGAGATAACTGTTGTTGTGATTTGGCGCTATATAAATAAAATTGAATTGAATTGAAATAAAAAGTATGTGTGTATTCCTGTTCAAAAACGAGCTGAGATCCTTCGTTTTGGAAATCCAACAAAGCCAAGCATATTGATACAATGAGGTGTTGATATTGAATGCTCATCAATTTGAGCTTGTATTTCTGTTTTTCACATTCAGATTTTTGTAAATATGTTGATTATTCTTGTTTGTGTGTGTCCTGTAGGCTGCCGAGTCCATCCAAGCAGAAGACGAGAGTGCCAAGCTGTGTAAGCGTCGCATCGAGCACTTGAAGGAGCACAGCAGCGACCAGCCGGCCTCAGTCAACCTGTGGAAGAAGAAACGCATGGACCGCATGATGGTGGAGCATCTGCTGCGCTGCGGCTACTACAACACAGCTGTTAAACTGGCCAGACAGAGCGGTATAGAGGTAATTGTCAGCATCTGAATGAGCTATTTTGTCTCAAGGTCATTGAGAAGACTTTGGAGATCTTTGAGTTCATATAGTAACAATTATGCATTTGAGAACGCTGGGACAAAACTAAGAGACTCACTGACCGTTTGTAAAAACACAACTTGTTGAGACCTGTGTCATCCTGAAACATTGGACTTTTTGATAAGTTAATTCATCATTTTACAAGTTGTGAATCTTAACTTTTTGTTCACCATTATACTTAACTTCTGTTTGTATTTTTCTAATGCCCTTCTTTTCTATTACATCCACTCCCCTGTAATGCCAGGATCTGGTCAACATTGAGATGTTTCTCACAGCTAAAGAGGTAGAGGAGTCTCTGGAGAGGCAGGAGACGGCCACTTGCCTAGCCTGGTGCCATGACAATAAGTCCCGCCTCCGCAAGATGAAGGTAGTATATTTACAAGAAGCAAATTGTACCTTGTGAATCCAAGAGGTTTAAGTTAACCCTGTACTTAATAGCCATGCCCACAACAAACAAAAAACATTATTACTTAATAGCTTAAAGTCAAGCATGTTAAGCAAACAGAAGAATATGTACACATGCTTATTGGTTCTGTAAGTTGCATATTTATGCTTTTCCTGAACAAGAATCAGCTCTGTAACATTGTTTGTGCTCAGAAATAGATCTGTTAAGATTTAATTACTCTTCTGGGTGTTTGCCCTTCTGGTAGTGGCAGCAAGTTAAAGTGTTAATCCTAAGATTATCCTTTTAAACCAGAAAGTATTTTGTAAAGCAAAGACGTGATAATCTTCCCAGTTAGCTGTTACTTGGCAAGTCAAACTTGAGCTGCACAGATGACCAAATATTAATATGGTTAGTCCAAGATCAGAATACTGGTACAGTTTTTATTTTTTATATTTTTAAGAAAAGCTATAGTGGTAGGCCATGTGTGTTTTTTTTTGTTTGTTTTTTTTTCCTGTTCCAGAAATCCATTTGGATGATAAAATATTGACAGGCAGCTGGAGAATCTACCAGCACTGCAGGAGTTGTATTAAAGAAACCAGTTTTCTGCCTGTTCTGAAGGGTCATGAAGGGCAAAATAGAAACTGACGATTTGGCAGCACTTCAATTGTTTAAACTTAAACTTGTTTTTGTTTTTTTGGCAGAGTTGTCTTGAGTTCAGTCTGAGAATCCAGGAGTTCATTGAGCTCATCAGGCAAAACAAACGCATGGATGCAGTCAGGTACACATGCATATATATTTGGGCATTACACACTAACAGTTTTACCTTAAATCCATTATATTAATGTTTTCTTTATTTTAACCATTATTGAAGCCACTAAAACATTTTATCGTCCGCTGATCTGGTTCATGTGTGTCTCTGTGTATGTCAGACATGCAAGGAAGCACTTCAGCCAAGCAGAAGGTGGGCAGTTGGATGAAGTTCGGCAAGTGATGGGCATGCTGGCCTTCCCATCAGACACACACATCTCTCCATACAAGGTAAAACACCAGCACTTTGTAAATATGTACACCTATGAAGTTGGATTTTCTTACACACATAAAACCAAGCAATATTATGGTATACTCATCTAGGTTTCTACCATGTTGAAAGTAGATCTCCGTACTTATATGTTCTTCTCATTGGATACACATCTTATCATGTCATTAAATGCGCTTGTGTTTATATGTGGAAATATAAAACCACAACAGATATCTTTTAAATAACACACTGCTGAAATTATTTCAGGTGTGGGAGATCAAGCAGAGAAAGTGCTATAGCGAAAGACCGGCCACTAGAGGGCCTCTGTTGCCTTCTTAATAAGCTCTATTCCCTCTTGTGCTACTTTACCTTGTCCTTGGGTAGTTGCTTTCAGTAGCAGTGTTATTTTTAACTTAAACTTCCACTTAAAAATCCTCTGAGAGACAGAGTTGTTCTGTGGCACCACAACAACGTGTAATCTCTAAAAGCATTTAGCTTTTTCTATAAGCAAAGAAGATGGAGCAAACAAACCTAGCGTGACATTTTTGCCAGCTTCTCCTGTCAGTGTGACAGAAGCAGAAATGAAAATCTGCCAACATGTTTGTAGAGCTGCACATTTATAGCTTAATTATAATCACAGTTATTTTTCTCAATGTTGAAACGATGATGGGTTATCAATTTTCTTATTATTCTTATCAATCAATCAATCAAGTGCACTAACTTTCCTGTACATGACAGAAATGTAACGGCACATATTAATAGAATCATGCTGATTTAAAGTTGCCACCATAAGTTGCAGCTGAATCAAAAGGATTTAACTGTAAGTTAATTTAGAAAATGCATTTACATTAAACATTTGTAGTGAAAACATTCTTGCCAACAGACTCTACTGTGTTTGAGAAGTAGAGAGCCCTTAATCACAGTTTGCTCAAAAGAAACAAACAACACAAAGCCCTGGCATCTGTACTAATCATGTTTAATTAAAGAGTCCCAAGGAATCCAGAGTAATGATGAAACAACCTCTTAAAGGCAACATACACCTGCAGAGTACGCCAAGTGTCACAGTTTGCTCCTGGGATTGGAACATCCTGGCTACAGTTAATTGATTATTTGGCTACTGTCTGTTCGTCAACACTATGTGATAGGGCTGGTTTGTGTTGCAGTTTACACTGCCCCAATGAATGCTGTGTAGTAAAAGAATAAAATAAAATTAGGGAATAAACATACTTTGTATAGGAATAAAAATAGCATGTTGAAGAAGAGTCAACACTAATCTGCACCTCGCATGTGTCTGCATTCTGTCTTGAAATGGCTGTTAGTGTAAAACCCCTTTCTGTCTTTTGTTCTTTCTGTTCCAGGATCTTTTGGATCCAGCCCGCTGGAAGATGCTGATCCAGCAGTTCCGATATGACAACTACAGACTGCACCAGCTGGGAAACAACTCTGTCTTCACTATCACCCTACAGGCTGGTCTGTCTGCCATCAAGACACCGTATCCTACCATACTTTATTTCCAGTAATAAGTTGCTTCTGCCCTTTTGATTTACTTGTGATTTATTTTCGTTGTGAGTAAAGCAAAGTGAAGGAAGTGTTCCTGTTACTCAGTGGTATATGTATACAGCAACAGGTAGTCTATCAAATGGGTTGTTGATCACATTACTAGTTCCCCTCCTTTCTTCTCTTTGTTCCTTACTGTCTACAGAAACTAGAAATAAAACTGATGTCTGCTGTAAGTAGAGATGCAACGATTACAGATTTTGTTGGTACGATTATTGTCAGAGAAATAATCACAGTTTCATGATTATTATGATTACTATGCATTAATTAATTTCACAACACTAGTAATGACTTAAGTTGATTTTTAATATTTAATAACATTAACAATTATATTCTATAATATGTAAGTATTATTAATATAAGAGGAATATTAACTTTTATTCCCCTGGGGAAATTGTTATAAAAGAGGGGAATAAACTGAACTGTTACTGTCACCAATTCTCATCCATACATATGTTTTAGTGAAAATGAGAAGAAATTGAGTGCAGTGTTAACTGAATAAATTTAATTGGTAGCCAATAGTCCTGGAAGTCTATAAGCTCCTGATCTTATGTTAGTGTTTTACACCTGGCAACATTTTCTCAACACAGACAGGAGAAGATAACATGATGTAACGTTAAATGTTCAGTGACTGAAGGTCTTCAGAGGACTACGTTCTGTCTTCCATGAAGGCCCATTCAGAAAAGAAGCAACGTGCGCTGTGTGGAAGCTGCTCAGTGCTAAAGTTCAACTGCTTTGACCGTGGCGTGCGCGCAAGCTTGCCATGCGGTGCACGTTGCTTGACGCAGCAATAAACCACCCTCACAAGCCATTGAAAATAATGGGAATCATAGCGAAGCGGTGCTGTCGTTGCAGTGGGTCTGAAAGGTTACACCTGCTTTGCTTGTATACGTTGCACTGAAAGCTCGACTCTCACCGCTACAGCATTGATTGTAAGTGACACATTTATATTTAATTCCTTACCAACTTGCTACGTTATTTAATATAATGTATTAGGCCTGCAAATTACATCATACATTGAGTAATTGAGACATACATTTTGGTCCTTAACCTCATGCCCATTACAGTCAGTGCTACAAGGAGGATGGTACCTCTAAGAACCCAGACTGCCCAGTGTGCAGTAAATCTCTCAACAAGTTGGCCCAACCGCTGCCCATGGCCCACTGTGCCAACTCCAGACTAGTCTGTAAGATCTCTGGTGAGGTCATGAATGAAAACAACCCTCCAATGATGCTGCCTAATGGATATGTCTACGGCTACAATGTGAGTACACAGCAAGATGGACTCCAGCCAAGAGTACAGGGACTGTGAGCTAAAGCTGGTTCTGTTAAGGCACTTTAAAATGCAATATGGAAGCAAGGATAGCAAGTAATATAAAACTGTAATGCTTATTTGTTTTTTTTTTCAAATGTTTTATTCTCTGCTTATTATCTCTTCCAGTCACTTCTATCCATCCGCCAAGATGACAAAGTGGTGTGTCCCAGAACCAAAGAAGTCTTCAACTTCTCTCAAGCTGAGAAGGTCTATATCATGTGATCACTTGGATAATACGTCGAGTATCAACATGATTGAAAATGGCCGTCATTCATCACCAGTGACCTGGCCTACTCAGAGAGCCACCTGTGGAGCTGTGATCCAGTGCCCCCAGACACATCCAACATTTCCAACCCATCCCTCCCTGTACACGATCAGCCCAAGTTTGCCCCCCCCCCCCCCCCCCCCATTTTATCACACAGAAACTGGACTCCTCTCCTTTGAGACTCTATTTTAGATGTGGCTAGATAACAAGAAGTTGTTTGATCTGATCCATTAAAGCACATGGACTATCAACATTGTCATTATTTTAACATACCCTCAAGATTAGAGACTACAGTAAAAGACTGAGGGGGTGAAGCTGTTAGGTAGATATTTAATTTTACTACAACAAATAAAAACTTGTTGAGGTTACTTTGACTTTTTCCTTTCACTAGTGATGTTCCTTTGTTACTTAAATAATGTGGAAGGACAGTGACAACTTGCTCCATTAACCAGATTAATACGTGATTTGGGCCTTTTTTTCAAAACAAACATGGCTGGCTTCCTGGTCATGTGGTAGCATCTCATTCTGTGATGCATGCTGTTGACATCCTTTAGTCTTCTAGCCATGTTTTTGGTGGATTGTTGGGGGGGGTATATGTTAAATACCTCCTTTTAAATTGCCTACTTTTTTGCATTTCAACCCCCCTTGGCTGTGAAACCGGTGCCTGGTTTGGGTTGTAGTCTGTTCCTTTTCAAATGTAAATATTAGATAGGAATTTATCATCCTCATGTAAAGATTCAGCGGTTTTGGGGACAAGTAACGACAATGAAGATGAACCTTCTGCGAAGATTGCTGTGTGAACTGAACAAGTCTTTTTTTGGGTGCTGTAAACCTGATATAGCCCACAGTATCCTCAAGTTAACTGGTTGTTCAGTATAACTTCTCATTTCTGAGAAAGCTGTTAGTTTCACAAACTTGGTAACATTTATTATGGTGTGTTTACTACCATAATGGAATTAGCGCAATATTGAAACAACAACCATCTCTGATGTTTTTTATTACCATTATTAAACAAATTGTCTTCCTTTTACTGTGTGTGAGATTTGACGTTTTCAGTTGTCTTCAGCCAGTTTCTCTTTTTCCTGAGTTAAAAGAAAAGTTTATAATTATTATTTATTAAGTTTTGAGATGAAACCCTGTGTGATTTTAGTTAATGTAACATTGCCCAAATAGTTTTGATTTCAAAAGTAATTTTCCAAGACTGAACACGATAATAAAGAGAAGGACTGTGCTGATATTTTTCTCAGTCTTGTAACTCTGCATATGTTAAAGCTGCTTGGAGTATCAACACACTACAGGGTAGCATAGTACACCATCTGCTTCCACGTTACATGTAGTTCCATGCCTGCCTTTACTTGAAAAATACATTAAGAAGCAGGATCAAAACCAAGGCAAGGCTTTTGGTTTCACAGATCTGCCTTTTCTTGCAAAACATGAGTTGTCCTCTATGACTTTAAAAACCTACTGTGAATGATGGATGGGCCCGGGATGTGATCACAACAAGATATACATAAATTTGGAAAGTTCACTTCAACTACTGCACAAATAACCCTTAAATTAAGCTATCAAAAATGCTGTTTTATGTTAAACAATCAGTCTTGGGGTCAATCATTTCTTCCATTTGTAGTTTACTGACAAACCAAAAGTTGCCTCATTTGTGTCCATAAATGATTTGGAACTGTATCTGTAAATACACAGACTGTCCTGTGTGTTTGTATTGGTAGAATAGATAAAGGGATTGTTTCATGAGCAATATGCCTCATAAAGATTTCAGTGAACTTTGATTTTGGTGTTTCTTTATTTGCAATGTCTGCAATGTTTTCTCTGTGGGCTCTTAAATCAACATTACCATAAGCTCTGGTAGATGTGCTAAGGGTAACGATTCACTGCAATTCTGTTGACATGGTAATGCCGCGATGTTTTGTGTCTTTCACCTGAAACTACATCTCCATGGTCTGAGGAATCAGCATTCTGTGTAGGCTTACAGACGGTGATATACTGTAGTCTTGATCACTTCTCTGTAATGTGCATCTCATGGAAATTCATGAGCAAAAAAACTAGGCGACTTGATTTTGTGATGTTGCCAAGGTGCAAATTAAATCTGGCTCAAAAGACCATGAATGGGCCACCAGCAACACCTTTGTGTGTACTCTCACATGAAAATAGAGGGGTTTGGGGGCGCTGTACACAACTAAACATTATTTTTGTTCTTGGTTAGTCTGTCAGTTATTATATCAGTTCCAAGAATTAATTGTTGATATGTCAGAAAGTGTCTATTTCATGTTTCCAGGCCCAGTGTAACACCTTATAAATGTTTTATCTGAACCAACAGACCAAAAATATTCAAATTGCAGTGAAATAAAACAGAAAAGCAGCCTATCCTCAAATGGGAGGACCTGGAACCAGTGAATGTTTGCCAGAAATAACCAGTTTGATTATCTTTTTTTATATTTAATCTATTCATTGACTACACGATTAATAGTTTTAGATTTTTTATTGAATGGGAATATACCTCATTTAAAACCCCAAAGTAAGCATCGTCATCTTCTGCAAGAAAGTTGAATTGTTGCCTTTTCACTTCACTCACTGCCAAAAACTTTTGATCTACCTAAACAACATTGATATAAAAAAACATTTTAATCATCCAGTCCAATAATACTCAAAATATAGTCTAATCTTGCACACAAACCACGCTGCTGTTGGTGATTCTTATGATGAGGTCTCCTTTGTCAGATTTACTGATGTCAGCGCCTAGGCCTATGTCTAAATGCCTTATATACAATCCTAAGGCAATTCCACAGGCACTGGCTCAGATTTTCAACTTTATTTACAGTGTGCCACATTTCATTTAATTTTTGGTTGCGAGTGTGGTTTTGGTTGGTTAAAACCCGCGTAACCATTATAACCCAATTCAGTAGCCTATAGCGCGTTTTATTTATGACTTCTGAGCTTCATATCGGAACAAATTAAAAATACTCTCTGAGTATGTGGACAGAAGCTTAAATATTTTCAGGTGCCATATGTATAAATATAACAAATGTATTTGATCCATGCATTTTGTTAACATGTGACCGACACAAAAACATACCAAAGGATAGCCTGCAACGATACTGCAATTGATAACATAAAATACGTATTCTGTTAATATATTTTATTATTTTGTATTTGTTATGTAATGAGGCGGTTTCATATGTTCATTTTATACGTTTTAAGCATTACATTGGTTGTCTTCGTGCCACAAAAGACAGAATAGTGGAACCGGAAGAGGTGTTACCGAGTTCCAAGCTGTCGTCACACCACTCCGGTATAAATACAGTCGCGTTCGTCATCGCCCGCCATCTTGAGGTTAGTTCACTATTGAAGTAGTTGAGTGATTATCAAGTCGCCATTACTCAAAAATGACTGACCAGCTTTGCAAACTTTTTGTCGGTGGGCTAAACGTGGACACTGACGACGATGGCGTGCGCAAGCACTTCGAGCAGTATGGTACTCTCACCGACTGCGTGGTCGTCGTGAACAAGCAACTGCAGCGGTCCCGCTGTTTCGGCTTTGTAACCTACTCTACACCAGAGGAGGCCGACGCGGCAATGGCGGCCAGGCCGCACACCGTCGACGGCAACGCGGTCGAGGTGAAGCGGGCCGTGGCGAGAGAAGACGCAAACAAGCCAGAGGCTCTTGCAAAAGTGAAGAAAATCTTCGTTGGCGGCCTGAAGGACGACATTGAGGAGGAACATCTGACCGAATACTTCTCCCACTATGGTCAAATCGAGAAGGCCGAAGTCATCTCGGAGAAGGAGACCGGAAAGAAAAGAGGCTTCGGCTTTGTTTACTTCACCGATCACGACGCAGCCGACAAGGCTGTTGTGGTGAAGTTCCACACCGTCAATGGACACAAAGTTGAGGTAAAGAAAGCCCTGACCAAGCAGGAGATGCAGGCGGCCAACAGAACCGGTATGTCGCCGAGAGGCAGACCTGGTAGAGGCATGAGGGGAAATCAAAATGGCTACGGCAGCAGGGACTACGGCGGAAACTACAACTACGGAAATGGCGGAGGCTACAACGGTGGTGGCGGCGGCGGCTATGGAGGTTACGGCGGACCATATGGGGGTGGCTACGGAGACCAGGGAAGTGGCTATGGAGGTGGAAACGGCTACAATGAGTTTGGCAGCGGCTATGGCCAGCATTCTTCTGGTTATGGCCCCATGAAAGGACCACCCTTCGGCGGTCAGAGGAGCGCTGCTCCCTACACCAGAGGCGGTGGTGGCGGCGGATACCCGAGGGGGGGTTACGGCGGCGGCTACTAAATAAGACTGCACAATGGAAAAACCCTCCCCACCCCCTGACCATAAATTACATCCAGCCAGGATTTGGACGCTCAACTCAAATTCAGTAACGGGGCGTCTGCCGTGAAATCCAACAACGGCAGAGATACGGACACAGAGACCCCCTCCCCCTAATCATAATGAAGACCTCAAAAACCCACACAGGTAGGAAGGCCACTTCCCAGAAAACCTGATAATAACGGGCAGCGGTTGTTGCCTTTCAACTAGGACATGTAAAATGAAGAATAAAAAAAAAATACAATGACCCCTTTTTTTATTATGTACCCACGCCGACGGCGTGTAGTTGTCGTTTAGAGTTCAGTGACGTTATATTTTTATTTGCGGTCACTCGTTTCAATTTCGATGTAGGATTGTTTTGCTGACAAAGTTCTGATTATCCTAATATTTGCATTTTTAAGCAATTAGATTTTGTTTTCTGGAGTAAACTTAGTGTGCTATCAATGTACGAGGATGAGCAAAGCATGTTGTGTGGTTTTGGATTTCATAGTTGTCAATAACATCAATTATATGTATAATTTACTTTGGTTATTCAGCAACGGCGGAACGTGATACTGCGGGATCCAGTTTTTCTTGTTTCCTTCCCCACATTGTACTCAAACTCTCCTCACGCATAGTAATAGTTTATAAATATTGTTCATTTTTTCATTACCTGTAGCAATATCTAATGTATATTGTATACTTTCATGTCTGGAGAACAAAACCTACTGTTTAAACACCTTGGTATGCTTATGTATGTTCATTTTAAATAAAACGTTATACCACTTAGCTTAGTTATTTTACTTATTTAACCAGGCTTCCTCAAGTTTATCCACAGGTTTTATAAGTGACATCATCTTGTTGATCTTTAGTTACATGGCATCTTTCCCACAGTTTATTCTTCAGGTGGGTGAAATGGTTACAGAATGGATTTAGTCTACCCACAGCCAATGCATGTAGGCTTTGTAGGGTTTGACCTTGTTATCAAATTATGTGCTTTATAGACACTGCTAATATGACTTTTTATTTTTCTTCTATATTTAATACATATCAATATGTGGGCATGAGGGCTCTGATATTTATCTTTGATTATTCCTAATTTAGGTGTTCTTACTCGTATTCCAGTAGGCTATCCCAGCCAAAATAGCCGTAGCAGTTTGTTTGTAGGCTACGTCAGGACCCTGTTGATTACCTGGGGTCGATTGTGATAGGAGTCTGAAATATCTCTTTAGGATATCCACATCCAGCAAACTAGGTATGTAAATCAACCTGTCTTCACTCTGTGTTGGTCAACCATGTATGGAATATCTTCATGAGATGGCGCACGAGTGTGCCATTATTTAATCTTAAATCAACTTAACTGACACTTATAGCTCAATGCGTCTTATGTAGCTAATATTAAAATAAAAAGGGGGGGGTTACTTAATTTGGTCTTAATGAACTTTAAGTGGGTGGTAGGGGACCCAAATGTTCCACCGTTAATCCATTAATGGAACAAGTAAATTGGTGTCTCGTCCAGAAAACGTTGTTTTTGTACAGTTTCTCACACTCTTTCTCTCCCATTTCCTCCAGGTTGCTACGGTAACCTGGGTAACATCACCCCGAAAACGATGGGGGTGAGTCTCCACGCCAACGGGGGGACCGGAGAGTGGTTGTGCCTTCTCCCCCTCAGGTGAAGTCAGTTTTCAAAAAGGATGGTGTGGTCTAAATGCATTTCTTAGATGGTTTTTTTTGGGTGGGTGATTTTGATAACACAGTGCCCCCATGCAATCAAGTTATTTCCCCAGTGACCAGCACTGACTGTTACTGGACCTGTGAGCTTCCTCCTTAGGTTGTTGAAGGACCTTTTACAGGCATGAAGAGGTAACGTAATAGTGAAGAGAAGTATTCAGTGTTGAACAAGGTGGGGAAAGAAACGTCTGTCAAACTTTATCTTGTGTGTAAAAATGTTATATTAAACATTTACTTAAAGACCACCAACTGAAGGGCTGATTACCTGGGAGAGCGTTTGCATTTTGGGCACTGTGGGTTTCAAAATTTAATAAATCTTTAATTTATAATTTGTCCTGTGTTTTTAATAGTCTACCTATTTTTATGAATTGCTTAACAGGCCATGTGTGAGCTTGGCCGTGGTATGACTTTATTTTTCCAATTTAACAAAACCTCAAATAAAATAGGTGAAGGAAAATATACTTGGGTGTATACATAACTGACTTTGCAACACAATCTTGGTAATAATGGATTTCTTTCTGTGGTATGTGAATTACTTTTGCGTTCGGCCCAAAAATCTATACAGCAGAGGGCGGAGGCTTACGACACACGTATTGATGAACATTTGTCTGCAGACTTGTTTCAAGACTAGGAACGCTGATGGGAAAGCCACATGCTTTGAAAGACCCACGTGTGTCATCAGGAAGTATAGGCGTGTGCTTACTAGATGCATACTTCAACTGCACTTAAACCTCACAAGACCTCTTCAGGGGCCCCAGGAGCTGTGCCATTTAGGTGGCATGTTTGTACAGCATCAATGTGTTTGCGTTGGTACTGTTGCATAGAACAGGATCAAAAAAGTTGTCAAACAATTATCCTCTTAAACCAGACCGTTTTCTGACGTCTATTGGCTGACTGGACCTGTGTTGGTGATATTGCAGTTCAGTAGTAGTTCACTCGAACCTCTACATTTTAATGCAGTGTCTATGAATTATCAACTTGAAACGGGGTAAAAGATGCAAAATGAACTGCCTGATTCATCACATTAGTGTACTGCTGTGTGGATCTGTTTTTAGGGGATGAGTTTCCCTTTTATTTCAGTGCACTTAAGTGTTTGAAGAAGAGTTATTTGAGAATTTCATGTCATTTGACAGGAGGTGTTGCAGAATTATCATATGTAAGTAATTGGGGAAACTAGAGGTTGGATCATACTAGTCAAAAGTAGAGTTGATATGAAATGTATTAGTAATACTAGCCTCTTTAAATGCACCTGATATTTGTATTGAACAGGATCTGGAGGTGAAAACAAAGACTGTTTGATTCACCAACTTTCAATTTTTTTTTTTTTTAACATAAAGCAAAATTCTGCAGCTGTACGAATAACTATGTGAAATTACTTTTACAGAACAGGTGTGGCGTGTTTTTTTTTTTTTTTTTTTTTTCCCCAATTTAAAATTCAGAAGCTCTATAAGCCGCATCCTTTAAACAAGTATTCGGGCCATGAGAGGTTTTGTCATGGACTTTTTTTTTTTTTTAGGTCTTCAAGTCTGCTGACCAGAATGTTGATCAATGTTGGTGAAGGTTTTCAGCCATCCAGGTCATAGTTATCCAAGGAAGGTTAAAGTCAATAGCAACTGGCCTTGTTTGAAGATATCACCCGACAGACTTCAGTTCAGAACACCAAATGTAGTATCTTCAAACAAGTCCAGTTGCTATTGACTTTAACCTTCCTTGGATAATGTTGATGAATACATACCTAAAATACATTATTTAGCTTATTGGTCAATTGAAAGAATGCTCCTAATTGAGCAGCAAAAATCAATGAATTTCTTAGAAAAATGAGCTGGAGTAACTAGAGGGCTTAAACGATTCATCAGCAATACATCTGACAATATCAACCTGCCTTGCTTCCTTAATCGCAGTGGTGGAAGTTCATTTACTGTACTTCAGGGTTATTATACTTCCTTTTTATGCAATTTGATTCTTCTCTACTGAGGCTATTATATTTCACTGCATGACAGCTTTAGACCTTGACAGCTTTTCAAACCTTGGATAAGCTTAAAAAAATGCATGGTCACAAAACTGAAACCAGGGCTATTTTTCTGGACTCAAAACATTTCGTTTTTAGAGATGTTATACTCGAAGGACAGCTACGCTACGAACCTACGATCTTACAGAAAATGATGCATTTCTGTTGATGTAACTACCAACAGTATATACAGTAGTTCAAATTGGCTCTTCTACAGCAGTAACATGCAACACACGAATGCAGCAGTAATATTAATCCACACTGACCGGAAACGTTGTACTGCATAATTGTTTTAATACTAGTTTTTGAATGTAAGACTTTACCTCTTAGGTTATTTTCACTGTGTGGTATTTGAACTTTCAGTCAAATGATTTAGATAAAGATAATACTTTTTCCACCAGTGCTTGATTGAAAAATGGAGCCAAGCAATTATAGAGAATTATACAGAATAAATCTGGCATTTATGTCTTAACTGGACCGATGCGAGTAAAAGCCCGTTCCTATAAATAAATCTTGTCTGATGTACTGTGATGATTCAGAAGACCTAGCGTGACACATAAGTTGTTAGGTTGTGTGACAAAAATACTGTGTGTTAAGTGATGCTCAACACAGTGATGGGTGTACATTTTACTTTTGTTCTCTTACCTTTTATAGGATAATGGTGCTTGACGATTTCTGATCATCCCATAGGAAAAGGAAACATCTGTTGTCTGCCGTGCTTTTTATGAATCTACAATAAATTATATATTTTTATACACCAAGAGACTTGTTATCTTACTTCTTTACCTCGAGGATAGCTTGGTTGCATGTGTCCCCTGGTGATGCATGTCATAAAGGGGGCAAAATAAGGTTGTGAACTGATGTTTTTGTTTTGTTGGATGGATAAGGTTTGCAGAGGTGGTGAAGCCAAAGATCTAAAGTTGGTAGGTGTATTTGTGTTTCATTCAACCAGGTTGGAATCATAAAACTGATCAGAGTACACTTCCAGAACTTTGGAGTACTGTAATGAATCAAATTCAGCGCTTATCATTTTTGGTGCTGGCATAGGCATCAGGCTGGGCTTTTATAACTTCATAGTTTTTGAGTGAAACCAAAGGATTTACACTTATAATCTGTCACCTCCATGTGTGTCTCTCTAAACTACATGCTTTCTGTATCTCTGTCTAGCACAAAAAGTTAACACTTGCTGTCACTCACGAAAATGCATTTTGTGTATCCTTGAGGTTTAACAAATGCATTTCTTGCTTCAAAACAATTTTACAGCTGACTTTATTTTAAATCCTGCTTTCTTTTTTTTTTTTACATCTCAGTTCTTACCAGCTTGCCTTCTTTCTCCCTTGACTTTGTTGGTGCATTGCTGTTTATCTTTTCATGTTACAGCCACCTGTACTTCAGTGGAATAGTCTGAAATCATTGGTAGGAGTGTGTCGCATCATCTGTGTGTCCTGGTGTTGAGAGAGATAACGGGTGCCCACAAATGATTAAAAAAAATCATGCCCCATAGTGCTTCTAGAAGTCAAACTCCATGGATACATAAGAGTATGTAGTGTTTGTCAGACACCAAAGATTAAGAGCTGAGTGTAGCGCCAGTGCAAAATCTGAAACACATTGCAAGAAAAAACTTGATAACCTGATTTGTTTGATTTTACTTTATTCATTTAGCTGATGCTTTTATCCAAAGCGACTTGCAGTTCCTATGTGTCAGAGGTCGCACGCCTCTAGAGCAACTATGGCTTAAGTGTCTTGCTCAGGGACACATTGGTGGGTGTGTCACAGCGAGGAATTGAATCCAGGTCTCTTCTTCACCAAAGGCATGCGTCTTATCCACTGCCCCATCACCATCCCCACTGGTTGATGGTTTCCCAGAACCGAGACTGCATGGGCAATGAATAGGAACTTTTAAAGCTGGTACTGGCTTAAAACATGAGCATGTTGCAACATGCATTAATGCCATGTGGATTCTTTTGAACTAGGTTGGAGAAGCACCCTGAGTAGTCCTCTTCAGCAGCAGAAATGGAGCTGAAACAGATTTCACTTACTGTGAAAAGTCTGACTTAAGAGAAATGGCATATTCAATAGTTTAGTCCAACACTTGGCCCCTTGAAGCAAAATTTCCCTAAGTGGGTCATAACTGTTAATCAAAAACAACTAAAATTGTGTCATGCATACATTTGTAGTTGGCTCAGTGTGTTGGTGCTGTGTATGTCTTTGCTATGGGTTCAAGACCAGTGTGACCTGGTCTCCCTGTCTGAAATCATAAATAGCTAGAGGAGACTACAATAACATTGAAGCTTGATCATTTAATACAATCAAGGGTCTATGGATAGTGGGTGTCCTATGCTGTACAGATTTTAAGGTCCCTTCAGGCAGTGTTGCGATATAGGGCTATATAAATAAGACTGACTTGACTTCTCAAAGCCATTATATGACATCATGAGCCTCAGAACAGATATGATCAAGATAATGTAACTAGTTTAAATAGTAAAAGACCTGCATCTGAAAGCACAGATCTGATGTGAAGTACTGATTAAACATCTAATTACAATGAAGACTAAATTTCAAGAGACAGCTGTTACATTCATGGCCACGTCATATCACAACTAAAAAAAACACAGCAGTAAGAAGAATGACTTTTTTGTTTTAAAAAAAGGGGGGGGGGGGGTTATAACGTGAGTAGGCACTGTTCATCTTAAAGAAACCAGAACTGGATTAACACAGTATATTGTGGTTCAGTGTGTTGATACTTTCTTTATATGTTGAGGTGTTTGTTGGGCAAGATAATTGGCATTTCAATAAAACAAGAGCCCTCTGAATCACTTACATTATGCCTCTATCTAGGCTACATTTTAGAAATTCTATTCGGATACCCTTCATATGTGTGGGTTGTAATGAAATTAAAAAAAGATAATGTTTAACTCGACCAGGACTTTGTCACTGTTTTTATTAGATGTTATATCTTGCACTGCAACTTCCAGGTCTACGGTATCTGTAGTTACGTGTAATTGTTTTTTTTAAAAATCTGGTAAGAGCTGGTAAGATCCCGTTTCCGGTGTATTAAAAGAACATATGAGCTTTACATTGATGAAAGGCTGATGGCTGTTAAATTAAAATATACATTATCTGTGTTGTGTATCTGTGTTTAGTGGTTGTAGAGTACCAAATAATATAACTTAAGGGAATTATTCGGAACATAGCTTTATTAATGTGCTTTGTACGGTATTAGAACAAAACGAATGACCACTAATGCAGAAATCCACGCTTCCCTTTCTCCTCAGCAATTGAACATAAGATTTCCGATACCACCTGAAGGCAGCATCAGCGTGATTCGCTTGCGAGCCAATGGGGGTGATGATTTTTTCAAGATGACCAATCAACGACACCTACGTCTTACGAAGGCAAGTGAGTCAAACGGCCCGCCCTTACGTCGTTCATTGAAGAAGAAGAAGAGGGACGGTCTGAGTATACTATTCTCACAAGAAATTCAATCATGTCGACTAAACTTTGCAAGCTTTTTGTCGGCGGACTGAACGTGGAGACTACAGAAGATGGCGTCCGCAAGTATTTCGAGCAGTTCGGCACGATCAACGACTGCGTTGTGGTCATGAACCAGCAGCTCGGACGGTCCCGCTGTTTCGGCTTTATCACCTACTCAACGCCGGAGGAGGCCGACGCAGCAATGGCGGCTAACCCACATGTCGTTGAAGGCCACGATGTGGAACTGAAAAGGGCCATAGCACGAGAGGACGCGAACAACCCGGACATCCTCGCCAATGTGAAGAAAATATTCGTCGGCGGTGTGAAAGACCACATCGAGGCGGACAACTTGACGGAGTACTTCTCCCAGTTCGGCGTGGTGGAGAAGGCCGAGATCATCTCTGACAAGCAGACCGGCAGGAAGAGAGGCTTCGGCTTTGTCTTCTTCGAGGACACGGACTCCGCCACCAAAGCGGTGCTGACCAAATACCACACCATCAACGGTAACAAGGTGGAAGTAAAGAAAGCTCTAACCAAGCAGGAGATGTCCACCGGTGGCCGAGGAGGAAGAGGTCGTGGAAGAGGAATGTATAACTATGGCGGCGGAAGAGGAGGTGGCGGCTACGCAGGAGGCTACGGCGGCAATTACGGAGGCGGCTACGGCTCTGGCGGGGGTTACAACGGCGGTGGAGGAGGCTACGGGGGATACGGAGGGGGATATGAAGAATACGACAACCAGATGGGGGGTGGGTACAGTAATGGTGACTTTGGGGACGGCTATGGACAGCAGCATTCAAATTATGGTGCAGTGAAGGGGGGCAACTATTCCTACAGGAGCGGGGCTCCATACAACAGAGGCGGCGGTGGCGGCGGCTACGGCAGGGGTGGTGGATTTAGCGGCGGTTATTAGTGGCTCCCTCAAGTTTTTTGAGATGTTCATGGGGAAAATTGATTACAACGAACTTGAATTTACATACACACACGCACACACACAATACAAGCCCAGTTGGGGTGAGGGGTCGGTTGAAGGGAGCAGTGCCCATCACCCAAGCGGAATGAATGAGACTGTCCTCTGGATCCTGGCTCCCCCCACCCGGACCCCATCTGTCCTCTTATTCCACACATTATGTACTTTACTACTAAGAATTGTGAATTATTGAATTGTACTTTTGTTCTGTTTGGGGAAAGACTTGTTTTCAACCATTTGTAAAGACGTAATCAATGTCGGTCACTGCTTCTCAACTCAACAAATTGAGTTTGTTTGTCTTGCAAACCAGCCAGATGTGTCTGTTATTTTTGCATCATGAACTCAGGGTTTTAAGTAAAGTTGGTGGCAGTGTCGGGCAGCATGGGACTCGATTGCTTGAGTTTCTTGATCTTAAACGCACGTGGCAAAGTGTTTTTTTCTTCTTTTTTTTTTTGTTCTTTTTGGAGAAATGTCATGGACTGTTGTCAGTTGTAAATTACTTTTTTCCACTTCTCCCGTCCCATTACAGGCCTTGGTTTAGATTAAAACGTTTGAAACCCATGTGTTCAGTTCACCCCTATGTCTATTCTGCTTTTATTAAAGTTTTTAATGTTTTGAAAATCTATCTAATCTCGCAGTCTTAATTCAAACCGCGTGGATCACATTTCAAGTGAGGCAATCTCCCTCGTTACAGCTTTTGTAACAGTGGATTGAATTCAGGGAGCTGCCACCAGGCGGAAGTGTTGCCTGCAAATTCCTGCATTTCCACTCATCGGCCATTTTATACCGGCAAAGATTTACTTGGTGGAAGAAGCCGATTGTGTGCATCACTGAAACCTGTGCTGTTTAATTGGACCTGTGCCCTTGATTGCAGTTAGTTCATTTGGAGATCAATTAATATACTTAAAATACATACGTGGATGCAGAGTGAGATGTGGGGTTTTTATGGGGGGGGTCACAAAGCAAACTATGAGAAAGTGTATATAAATAAGCATACGGTGTTAAGTTGCATTTTGTAAACAGGTTCAATGAAGGTAAAGAAAAATGTTTGCAAATTCTGCATCACCTTCAAGTTTGTTTGTTTTTTTAATAAACTCCCACATGCAGCCAGTTGGTCGCAAATAACATAAATTTTCTTGAAGGTTCCAATATTGAAGTGTACATTTTTAGAAACTTGAATCCTGATTGCTTTTGGACACCAAATATGAGCCATCTTTCCAATTTCCATTCTTTGGCGTTGTTGGGGTGTTATAACTGTAAACCATGAATGAACTTAAGGTCCGAAAATGGTTACGAATGCTCCACCTTTAAAGGGCAGATGG